TGTTGGGGACGGGGCTGAACAGGCGGCACAGCCCGTCCGCTGGCGTGGGGCAGCCAGAGCTACTGCTCTACTCCGCGCCAGGGAGTTTCCTGCAAGGATCCTGGGAAGCATCGAGGGGCACAGATATTCCCAGTTCCTGAGCTGAATGTACCTGGCCTCAGTTGCTGGTTTTGCCGCCTCCTCCCATGGAAATCGGGCCTCTGTCCTCTCCTCCGACCACTTTGGCTTCTCGATCAGCCAGGTGACGCTGGCTCTGTAAGTCCGTCGGGGTCTTCCCATCGCTTTTGTGGCTTCTTCCTGCATCCCTGCTGGTTTCTTGGTGCCCATCTTCCATAGGTGGTGTGAGTGTGAGCCCTTCCCACAACTTGTCCCCTTTCGCACACCTGGGGCAATGCCAGCCCTCTCCAGCCCGGCTTTTGGGACACCAGGAGAGCTTTCCTCAGCACTGTCCTGCTGCCCCCTTCTCCCCTTGCTCTGTGTCCCCAGCTTGTCCCCTCTCAGCTCATCATCCCTCCTGGGGGCTATGCTCCCTACACCCTGCCTGCTGGGAACGCAGGCAGGATTTTGGCATGGGGAGGGGTGGTGCAGGCAGGGTTTTGGCGCAGAGCCGGATGCCATAAGAACGGGATGCTCTGCAAGAGGGGCCATGGCCACAGCTTCACCCCAATCCCCTCCCACAGTGGGGGGTGCTGGTGGGGAGCACTGCCCTGGGTGGGGGTGCCAGGTGTGCTGTGGGTGTCAGCCTCTGCCCCGGCTGCCGTTCTGTCTTTGGGGACCGATGGGGCTGCACCCAAGTCACCTGGCAGCCCCAAATCCCTGTGTCCAAGCAGTTCAATGCCTGCCTGGGGCTCTGCCTGCACTGTCCTGGTGACCCAGGAGCGGGATTTGTGCCCTTTCCAAAAGTGGCAGAGGGACCTGAGCCTTCCCTTCAGCTTGACCAGTGTTGTAATATATATAAAAAAAAAGAAATAAGATGTAGTCAGTCCTACAGGCTACAGAGATAGAGTGATTCTATTACAGTGTCTCTATAGGCAGGCACTCTGAAGAGTAACAGATTGAGCAGCATGCGCTAAGCCACTGTCTTAGTGGAAAGTTACTTCATCTAAGTTTCATATCCTCCTATCCTACCCTTAAGGTGAACAGATTTATTAAAGCCGCATTAGGACGGCTCTGCTTCCCTGCCTGAGCGTTATTGGGCAGGGCAGATCTGGGGCAGCGCGCCAGCGGGAGCCCCACTCGGCTTTGCCGTGGTGTCGGGCAGCTGAGAGCCCCCATGGTGGCTGGGGAGGGTGCCCAGGCAGCAGCCAGGGTGGGGAACCCCGCCCGACGGGGTGCTGGCAATAGGCAGTGAGGGTGCGAGAGCCCAGGGCTTGCTGTGTGGTGGGGAGGAGCTGGCCCCCTTCCCCCATCACCCTCGTCGCAGCATGCAGGCAAGAGCGCAATGCACCCAGGGTCAGGGTCCTGCTTTGCATCCAGCCCTGCATTCCTATCGATGGGTGTTTTTCATTGCCATAAGCCATGCCCATGCTTCAGGGAGCCTCTGTGGTGTGATGGACCCCAAAACCATGCAGAGAGCGCCCCTAAAGCCAAAAAAGCCTCACCTTCCTCCAGTGCTGCCTCGCTGCTCTTACCCAGCAGCTGTGCTACACCCCAGCTGGGAGGGCTCCAGGCGAAGCCATGGCTGAAAGGCAGTGAGGATAAAGCTTGCTTTTCACAAGCTTCACCCCAAATCTCTCTGTGCCAGCCCCCCCCCAGCTGTGCACAGCCCTGGCTCTCGCCTGCATCTCCCTCCCTCCTTCCTCCGCTTCTTGACGTGCCTCTGTGGCCTCTGACTGCGCGTCTGGGCTCTGCAGGGCCGCCCTGCCCTCGCTCCCGGTTTCCACAGGTGTCCAGGGTGGCTCAGAGCCCTCCCGACATGGAGCGTGAGCCCCG